AAGGAGGTGGCACCCGGCGTTCCCCACCCTCCTCCAGGAATAGTCAGTCGGCCGGGTACCTGGGCTCTGCTGCACTGACCACTCTAATTCCACTGTCACTAAAACGCACGCAAAGGACACTCCTTACCACGTAAGGGAAACGCCTGGTCCTCTCTACGATACTCTAATAGACTCTCGGCGGTTTGATCACCCGGTCGCGGCCCTGGCTCACCTCACACCTGTTCAGGGTCCGCAGCTGGCCGATCCTGGCGATAATGAACTGGAGGTTGGTCCGGGCGCCGCTTCCCACAGTCAGGGGGTTCCTCAGGCAGGACAGGGAGTGCAGGCTCTGTAGCTTATCCAGCTCGTTGATAAATGACCACTGAAACCAAACACAAGAAAGGAAACATGTTTCAAGCTAATTTTTCAGATTATTTGAAGGAGCATCAGAAAAGCAGTCTCTCCCTGGCTGGTGGCTCAGTGGTTAGAGCATCAGCCTGCGCACTGAAAGGTCACGGGTTCGATTCGTGGCCAAGGGCACCTATCTGGATTACGGGTTCGATTCCCACCCCAGTCGGGCACATGCAGGAGGCAACCAGTCGGGGCCTCTCGCATCAGTGTCTCCCCCTCCCTCCCTTCCACTCTGAAAACAATGGAAAAATGCCCTCAGGTGAGGATTAAAAAACCAAAGGCGCTAGTCCAGCGAGGGAGGGCTTCATGCGCTGAGCGCGCTGCGTCTGCCTAACTGGGAGTTCAACTAGTTTCTTCATATTTTTGGGTTTATGTGAGGAATTTCACTCTGAAGACGCATTTCCTTCGGAAAGTTCAAAGTGTTTTTTCGTAGAAGGAACCTACAAACGGGCGTGAGGGTGGAGAGCGGCGGGCACATGGCGCGCACATTCTGAGGCAGCTCTTACTTGCGATATCCGATTGTCATCGACTACCAGGTACTGCAAGGAAGGAAACATGGACGTTTTGCACCCTAGGAAAAGGAGAATTCAGTTATATAGCAGAAGTGAAAGAAACAGCTGACACACGGAGTGCGGGGAGGGGATGGAACCATCTCACATACCAGCCCCAGCGTCCGGGAAACGCAGCGAGGAAATCCCAATGTCGCGAAGGATTAGTCGTTCTAACCTGAAGTTACAAATGTTCAGTTGGACTGCACAGAACACTGTCAGATGCTGTCAGCCAGACTGGATTTGGAAATTATTTGCTGCACCTCAGGTTTTTGCCCTGGGAGAAACACTTAGAAACCATGAAGCGCAGCATGGGGTGAGCAGACTGCATTCTCATGACTCCACAGCCACCGAACTGTCCTGGCATTACCGCTGGCTGGTGCCACACGGGTCTCAGAGGAAAGAGACATGGTCTTACTCCCAGAGTTCAATGAACGAAGACTTGAGTGCCAGGGCCAAGTCACTCGCCCTTCAGTTACCCAGCACCTGTACAGGTGCAGACTACACTGTATGAGGTTCACAAGTAAACTCTCTAAGTGAATTCAGATAAAGTTTCCCAAAGGCGTGACTCGATTTGGGAACTCCCTCAGCATCACCATATTTCCTCTGCAAAAGTATCTATGGCATAGGACCCATTCATTAAAAGTTTACTACACACCAATATTACGCATTTTAGGAGCAATTACCTGGGCAGATGCGCTATTAGAAACAGCTGGTTCTCATCAATTAACTGATTGGAGGAAAGATCTAATACCTTGACCGTTTGCAGAACGTCAGCCGGCCTATATGGAAAGTAAAATTTTTCAGCATGAATTTAATCTCTTGTTTTCAAACAGCCTTAAAATACCTGCATTTGCCATTAAGGAGAGGTTGGGGCGGGAGGCAAGTGGATATGATTATAAAAGGGCAACATAAGGGCCCTTGTGATGGGAACTTTCTCCACCGGACGATACCAGTCTCCTGCTGGCGACACTGCCACACTCGGCAAGATGTTGCCAGTGAGGGAAACTGGTGACAGGTGTAACTGCATGTGAACCTAAATGATCTCAGAATGAAAAGTTTAATTTTTAAAAACCGGCCTTTGCCTGTATAATAAATGAAGTTTTCCTGTACAGTAAAAACTTTTTCATTTGAATCCTGTATTTGAGAATTTGTTGTAAATCTGCCCACGTTTTAAGTTTGTTTTACAGAGCAATTTAATGGTGTCAATAAAAGAGGAAGATGAGACATATTTAATTCACTTAAGATACATCGCCCCTAAACAGATGGTGCTAATTACAAATGCATCATTTAGTCCTTAGAGCAAATCCTACAGAATTCCCATTTAGACACAGACGTTAAATATGTTTATGAGAAACAGAATTAATGTCTTCAAAACCATTTAATTCGGGGCTTTCACCCTGATGCGTTGCTCCTCAATTAGCAGTGAAGTGTTAGCTGACATTGTGACTTGTGAAGGCAATGAGTGAACACGTTTCAAATTCTTATCTGCAAATCTTTCTGAAAATTGGCAGATATAATTGAGATTATTTATTCAGGGTGTGTAAATGGTGACAGGTGCAGTTAAGTAAGTCCTTGTTACCTTTCTGAAATGGAAATATCGTTGGACTTGAGGTACAGCTCCTCGAGGACCGGCCACCCAGGGGCGCAGCGGAGCACCTGGGAAGGAAACGCAGTTCAGGGGAAGCGCCCTCTGCTGGTTGTTTTTCCCGTGTTTATTTCTAAACCTGCACACGAATCCAGTTCAGTCAGCTTTAGATATAAAGTGCCTTGTAAGATACTTCATTAAAGACTGTGTTTCAGGCCATATCATTAAAATGTTAAAGGCCGAGTTTTAATGATATGGGCATGTCTTCAACACTGAACCAACCAGCACAGGTATGAACGCATTATGTAGGCATATCTGGAATGGACTGAGGCACCTCCAAAGTGGACTGCAGAGGCTCACTCAGCTTCACCAAAGGAAGGAAAGTGATGTTAAACACCTTTTCTCAATTACTGATGCCAATCTGAGTTTGTAAAGAATAAAGAATGGATTAAAAAACATTTACACCATGGTACATTTACACCATGGAATACTATGCAGCTGTAAAGAAGGATCTCTTACCCTTTGAGACAGCATGGAGGGGCCTGGAGAGTATTATGCTAAGTGAAATAAGCCAGTCGGAGAAAGACAAGTATCACATGATCTCACTTTTACATGGAATCTACTGAACAAAATAAACTGACGAACAAAAAATATCCAAAGACACTGAAGCATGAAACAGACTAATTATTTCCGAGGGAAGGGGAGGTGGTTCAGGAAGTGATTAACCAAAGAACTTATATGCATATATGCATAATCCATGGACACAGACAATAGTGTGGTGAAGGCCTGG